CGACCGTTATGAACATTTTTAAGCCCAAAAATGCTATTTTTGAAGCTATAAATTCCTATTTTTATATATACCAATTAATTATGATCAATATAAAAATAATTGTTAAAAATAAAAATGATGTTTTGATAAATAAAATTTTATGTGATAAAATAAAAAAAATGATGTTTTGACAAATAAAATTTTATGTGATAAAATAAAAATGATGTTTTGACAAATAAAATTTTATGTGATGTATGACGGTAAGCTAAGGTGTTAACACTCGATGCTAGGCCGCTATTGTTATTTGATATTGTGATGATTATTATTGATGTTGTTTATGATTAGACTTTGATGAATATTATTATTAAAATAATAATTACGAATGATTAAATCATGTTTAGAAAAATGAATATATTGATGATTATAAAAATGATTTGTATTGTTAAGGATATCTAGAAGAACTCTAAGATATACCCACTTGGAAAATTGATGATGATTATTAAGGATATCTAGAAGAACTCTAAGATATACCTCCTTGACCAATTTATAATTCGGGGTTAAAACGTACGTACGGGATCCAGACCGGATATCACTCACCCGACAGATCACTGTTCGGTTTGGTACGTAATCCACATGACTCTTAGGGTGGATTATCGATTCTTGTGTTCTGCATTAAACTATTTATAGTTTAAGGGCCTGGTTAGAAATATTGCCTTAGACTAGGAATAGCTAAGAGCTTGTATAAAATGATTTGGCCTTAGATTAAAAATAATTTAAGAGCACTGATGAAATATTTTGAATATTGAATATATCATGAAATGACTTAAAATAAAATATTATGAATAATGTAAGCTTGAAATATGTATTGTGTGCATGATATCAAATGGTTAATTATGAATTGAGATTCAATTTATATGGATGTTCGATGCATTATATATGCTTACTCAGCTTCAACGCTGAGCGTGTAGTATGCTTTATTTGCTACACGCAGGTAAACAAAAAGAATGATGTGATGGAATCCTGGCAGCAGACGGAGCGAGATGGTCAAAGTGGATGTGTAAAATGAATTAAAGTTTAAAAAGACATAATATTATTATGTTTTGTAATTGTTATTTATTCAACTTCCGCAACATTAACTACTCTGTTATTATTCTGAATACTTTATTATGAAATAAAGTTTTAAAATGCTTGAAACCTTTTGAATGTTTACAAATACCAAGTTTATACTTTAGTCCGAAAGGGGCTGCAGACCTGGACGGATTGAGGTGTTACAGATCTGATCTGGACGACGGCAAGAAGAATTGAAGCACAATGATACAAATCGAAATGGGTGGGACGATGATGATGACGATCAAGATGAATTTGGTGGAGAGAGTGGTATATATTTGGAGGTGGTATGAACGCTCAAGAGACTTGGAATGAAAGTTACATTGTTTCAAAATAAACATTACGTTGTTTTGGAATGAATACTATGTTATTTTAGAATGAACAATACTTTGCAATGAATAATATACTCCGTATTATTTAAGAATGAATATTACATTGTTCCTAAATCAAATTAAATTGTAACAAACAAATGTGTGAAATAAACACTACTTAACCAGAGAATGAATGCTACATTTATTCAAAATGAACATTTAGTGGATGCATCTGACCCTTGGTACATCCGGTTTTATAATATTTGCCGTACTCAACGAACACCCCTCTAATTAAAAATCAGTTTTTAAAAAAGAAGAAAAAGAGCATTTTCGGGGTTTCCTTGTGCTGCAAACAAGCTTTAAACTCCAGCCCGGACCCGGCCCATGTGGTGCCCTAGAGCATCCAAGAAAGCAGCCTTCGGCCCAACGAATTAGCCAACTCAATATCTGGACCGCCCAAGCATTCGATCCAACGGCCTATTCAAAACCCTAGTTTCGCCTGACGTCCCGAACTTCGTTTATAAACTGCCGAGGGCTCATTTCATTTCGCTCTTCACACTTTCAATCTCTCTCTTGAAGCCGCTACTCTGCATCTGAGCCGAAGAAGAGGTCCGTCTCTTCCGCCTTTCTCTTTGATCTATGATAAATAATTGTTATGTGTTCGTCTGAAATTTCAATCTGTTATTATATTTGGCGCTTCTCTTTGATGTTTGTTAATTGAACAATAAGTGTTCGATATTCATTTCTATTTTGTTATTACCAGCATGACTTGGATTCCGAGGAACTCATGTATCGATTCGATGTGATTCTTCATTTTTTGGAGTTTTGACGATTACATAGTTTTTCTATGTTAATATCATAATCTGTTGATAAAAAATGGATCGACTTGATATATGACGTATTGGATCCAACTACATCGGTTGACTAGGTTTGGCCAGATGGCTATGATAAGATCGGATCGAATATGCTGGCGATTTTGTTGTTCATATCAATCTTATGTCTGTAGTTGTTTGTTTTAGTCTTTCACTATACATTTCCTCAAAAGTTTTTCTCTCGAGGCATTCAGTGATTGTTTTGTCATATCGTCTAATTTCTGTGCGTCTAGATCTGTTTCTCTGGATCATGTGAATGATCCCCTCTTGGTTCAGATTCGTGTTGTGAGATTAATTTTGGTCCTATGTGATGGGTTGTTTTTGCAAATCTTGATCTTAATCGTTGTTATACTTGGGCTGTTAAATGTTCAAAACATTTGACTAGTAATTTGGAATGGAACTGTTTTTAGTGCCAACTTTTTAAATAAAATTTGAGGTTTATGTCTCCTGATCGATGCAATGAGAATGATTTGCCTTACAAGGAATATTTTACTCTAGAAATTTGAAACGGAACTGATTTGCCATATATATGAATGGGATGCCCTCATATTTTCTCAAAACGTCAATATTTTTCCAAAAATATTATTAGCTTCAATCTATTAGTGTTATTCTAATTTTTAGTTGGAGATGTGCTTTGATTTGGAAGTTGCTTTTATTTGGAGGATGTGATTGTTGATCCATTTCAGTGTAATCCTCTGTTTGAATTGCAGTTATCTGTAGTTATCAACCATGGGTAAAGAGAAGACACATATAAACATTGTGGTTATTGGCCATGTCGACTCTGGGAAGTCTACTACGACAGGACACTTGATCTACAAGCTTGGAGGAATTGACAAGCGTGTGATTGAGAGGTTTGAGAAGGAAGCTGCTGAGATGAACAAGAGGTCATTCAAGTATGCCTGGGTTCTTGACAAGCTGAAGGCGGAGCGTGAGCGTGGTATCACCATTGATATTGCATTGTGGAAGTTTGAGACCACAAAGTATTACTGCACAGTTATTGATGCTCCTGGACATCGTGACTTTATTAAGAACATGATCACTGGAACCTCACAGGCTGATTGTGCTGTTCTCATCATTGACTCTACCACTGGAGGTTTTGAAGCAGGTATTTCCAAGGATGGTCAGACTCGGGAGCATGCTTTGCTGGCATTTACCCTTGGTGTGAAGCAAATGATTTGCTGCTGCAACAAGGTTTGTTGTTATGACCCACAGTTTATTTTAGGCGCAGGCTAGATGTATTTATGCTGTTTCATGTAATCCCAATTATTTGATATGAACCTTGTTTGTTTACCTTTGTGATGTCTGACAGATGGATGCAACAACCCCCAAATACTCCAAGGCCAGATATGATGAAATTGTGAAGGAGGTGTCCTCATACCTGAAGAAGGTTGGGTACAACCCTGATAAAGTTCCCTTTGTCCCCATCTCTGGATTTGAGGGAGACAACATGATTGAGAGGTCAACCAACCTTGACTGGTACAAGGGCCCAACTCTGCTGGAAGCTCTTGATCAGATCAATGAGCCAAAGAGGCCTTCTGACAAGCCACTCCGTCTCCCGCTTCAGGATGTTTACAAGATTGGTGGTATTGGCACTGTCCCTGTTGGACGTGTTGAGACTGGTGTTATCAAGCCTGGTATGGTTGTGACTTTTGCCCCTTCTGGCTTGACAACTGAAGTTAAGTCTGTTGAGATGCACCACGAGGCTCTGACTGAAGCACTCCCCGGAGACAATGTTGGGTTTAACGTGAAGAATGTTGCCGTGAAGGATCTGAAGCGTGGGTATGTTGCCTCCAACTCCAAAGATGATCCCGCCAAGGAAGCTGCCAACTTCACCTCCCAGGTCATCATCATGAACCATCCTGGTCAGATTGGAAATGGATATGCCCCTGTGCTTGACTGCCACACATCCCACATTGCTGTCAAGTTTGCTGAGCTTGTCACCAAGATTGACAGAAGGTCTGGCAAGGAGCTCGAGAAGGAGCCGAAGTTCCTCAAAAATGGCGACGCTGGTTTTGTTAAGATGATTCCCACCAAGCCAATGGTTGTCGAGACCTTTGCCGAGTACCCGCCACTTGGTCGGTTTGCCGTGAGGGACATGCGTCAAACAGTTGCTGTTGGTGTCATCAAAGCTGTGGAGAAGAAGGACCCGACGGGAGCAAAAGTCACCAAAGCTGCTCAGAAGAAGAAATGAGCAATTGTTTCCGACCTCTAGTAGTTCTTCCTACATGGATGAGCTTCTATTATCATCTATTATCTGCTTTATGTTTCTTGAATTTAGTTTTGAACATTTTACCAGTTTTGAAAATGGCCCCAAAGGATTCTTCCATTGCGGTGGTTCTCTAGCCTCCATGTGAGGATAGTGGAGGAATTGAGCAATCTGTTTTGTCTCTATAATCATCACAGATTGCTTGGTGCCAGTGATGGAAGCTCTTTCTTTGGAAGCCATCTCGCATTTTATGTTGATGAGAGGGTTTACTTTTGGTTGAACGCTCTATTATTTTCTGCAACTTTTTTCAGTCAATTTTCTGTGTCTGTTTTCCTTACATTTGCTTGGGTTTGCTGGGTCTTTTGTCATATGACAAATGTGGTTGGCTTGTTTTTTCTGAGATTTTGAGGTGTTGTCTTTGTTTTATGACTTTGCTGTGCTTAGCTAGTCTTGGAACTTTCTGTTCATATAGCTAGTTTTAGGCGTTTTAGCAGATAGTCTTGAAATGTTTTTTAGGCATTTTAGTGAATTAGTGTCTTTTTAATAGTGGCAATCAAGCAGAAGTAGAAGTTGACACCCAAAGAGAACGAACTATTAACGAACAAGAAAGAAAAGAAAAAGATTGAACATAGAAAGTTCAAAGTTGAAACAACCATACAAGCTTTAAACTAGTCTGTAAGGGATCAGAAGATGAAACGGCACAAACATATCCACGCGACCTTCTTGGCATCATCATATCATCTTAAGCACCTGTTGCACTGATGGGGAAGCGGTGGCCGGGGGCAAGATGGTACTTTCACTTTGAGCTTCAAGAATACTGTCGAGCTTCTCTTTGCTCAACCCGCCAAGAGCGGTGGCCAACTCCCGCCCTTTCAACAGCTGCAGCACCGACCCCTGACCCGCCAGGAATTGCGGCCCGTTGTCTCGGGCTGACGTTGTGAAGCCGAAGAACACGAACGGGCCGTTCCTCGATGCGATCTGGCAGAAGGGGAAGAACCGCGGCACCAGGAACACGTCCCCTTCCTCCACTTGGGCTTTCATGGCCAATGTCCCGTTGGGGAACACTATTTGTACCTCTCCTGTCCCTCTCAGCACGACCCCGTACTCGCTCGCTCTTGGGTTTATGTGTGGCGCCATCATCGATCCCTGCAGTCATTATTTTTAAAGTGTTTTTCTAAACATCAGAATACCAACACAATGTGTTGATAAAAACTCAGACTTTAAACTTTCTTGACAGATCCTAACGCTAATAAATGTTGCCGAAGTGTAGAGATGGATGACATACCGCGGATAGATTGACGAGGTAAACAGTGATGTCGGGGAGCTTGAGAGACGAGTAATCGTCTCCACCAACAGCTAGACTCCATCCGTAGTCATTGCTGAAGTCCGGTTCGGCTTCGAAGATATTGTACGATTCGGAGGCCTCCCCGCTCCCACTTTCTTCCTTGTTGCTCCCACTTTCTTCCTTGTTGCTAAAGGGACCCAACATCATCTTTGTCATCACCAATGCCTTCTTGAAAGCCCATCGCCAGCTTCGCTCGTTGTCATCATCTTCACGACCAACACCCGCGAACCTCTTCAATCGAGCCAGTCTCTCTTCCTGTTTCAGGTTCATAAAACAGTCCCACGCATCTGAGGATTGCGAGTGTTTCGATAATGGCACGATTGGACCGGACAGATTTGCCCTTAGAAGTTTCGTGAGATCTGTCCCCGACACCTGTGGCAGTAGTCAAATTCGTAGGTGCTAATATGAGTACATTCTTGATCACAAATCATAGAAAAAGGGAACGGGTGAGATTTATGTGAATACCAAGAAATATGAAAGAAATTATCTACTATATATACATAGTTAATTTGGAAATTATAGACTACACAGTTAAAGCTAAAGATGACGACTCACATTGAATGCAGTTGATAGCGTCTTGAAATCAAACCCAGAGAGGACAGAGGTTGGATGTGCTCCGCCACCGATGAAGTAAGGCTGAAAAACACACCTTAATTTAAGGCCAATTCTATAGAATATTGTTACAATATAACATTTTTGCATCATAACACAGATTGGATTATGTATAGTTCAATTTTGGTTTGTGCAATTTGGTCAGAAGACGTGTTGAGTTGTCTCATCCCACATCGGCTTAACATGCCAATATTGTGATACATGTAATAGTTTGGATTCCTCAACCTCTTGAGTTAACTTTTGGGGTTGAATTGGGTCCAAGTCTATTATTTAACAAAACGTAACATTCTTTAAGTGGCTCCTTCTAAAGGTTTGAAGTTTTTAACCTAGCTCAATATTGAACCTTATTGCGCCAAGATATGTGAGAATTTCTTTTGTTGAGGATTGAAGTCGAGTTCAACTTGTTTGGCAAACCGGTCGAGAACTAAACCAAGCTTGAACTAAACCCAAAATGCCCATCATATGACTACAATTAACCAGATTTTTCAAATAAGCGTTTCCTCATGTACGTTCTTGTTTGCGTACTTGAAGATGTCCCATACTCATTCCCACATTTTGGACCCCGTGTATTCGTCCCCGTTTCGGTGTAACTTAGACTAGCAAGGCGGTTCCCATTCATGGTTAAAGAAATACTCACTCCATAAAGAGTAGTAAAAAATAGCTTGTTAGAACAAAGAAATGGGTACAGACCTGGAAAGAAGGGGAGGGGAGGGAGTGATCGGAGCCCCTAACAATGCTGCAAATGACACGGAGTCGTTGGCCCTCGGCGGTGTTCACCAAATAGAAAGCGGAGCCCGCTTCGATGGTGTAGATATCGCCGGACTTCAACTCTTTTTCCACCAACTCATCCTTGTAAACATGCCCTATTCTTGCTTCCCCTGCAACATCATCATATAAATTAAATTCCATTTTTAACAAAATTAGATTCTTGTTCAAAAATCAATAAATATACTCCTTAATTAGCTTCCACCCCCATATTAAATTCATGGATTAATGAATTCACTGAGTAACAAGTACTTGAAGCAGAGTTGTTAGGAGCTATATAATATCCCAATTTTAAATAAGAACGTTTTTTTCGAGCCTTGCACGTGAAATCTTAATTTTTTAAAACTGGGTGGCGCTGAGTTTCGAACTCGTGACCTCTTAGTCAACGAGGCTCTGATACCATGTCAAGGAACCAACTCAACCAAAAGCTCAAGCTTGTGGTTGTGGCCCAGGATCAGTTATTTATATTCTAACAAGAATAACAAATTTTATTTAAAGATGAATAATAAATATTGTGAATTTATTTTGGAAATGGAAAGAATGACTTTTTTCCGTTCAATTTTATGTCGACAGAGACTTAAGAGTTTCAATTGGCGACCTTGTTTGGGAACAACGTTTTCAATTAGCGTTAGCGTTTTGGATAAAATTTTAATGTCGCAGATTAATTCTGAAAAACTAACGCTAAAGGCCACCGTCGGATAGCTTTTTCAAAACGGTAACGCTAATCCTTTAACGCTGATGCCAAACGAGGCCGACATATAACAAATCACAGTCATGCACATCGTTTAATATTTTTCTAAAGAGCAATCCTACAAAGAGAAATTTACTTAAATAACACTAAAACATAATGATTTTTCCTAAATAGCACCACATGTGTTTTTCTTCCCAATATAGTACTTTTAGTCATTATGCATAATGATTTTTCCTAGATTTTTTAGTCATTATTCCCAATATAGGGAATAAAACAGTTTAAGTGCTATTTAGGGAAATGACTTAAATTTTAGTGCTCTACAAATTGTCTTTTATAAAAGGTGACTTCCCATATAAACTCCAGTCTTAAAATATTACAGTACCTTAGTTATCCTTTATATATGAAAATCATTCTATAACCATTCTATTAATTCTATAAAAAATCCACTATTATAAAAGAAAGTGGATCGTATTGGAGAGAGAAAGAGATATTACCTCCGTTATTGGATATTAGTATAATGAAATACAATTTTGAAAGTTCTTAATACGATAAATCTAATAAAGTCATTTTTATGTTAAAATATATTACGATTTTTATATTTAATTGAAGCTCAAAGTTTGTCCCGTTTGACTCGAAAAAATCAAACTGGACAAATATACTGAGACGAAGAGAGTAAAAGAGAGGAGTTTAAACACTTTTATATTAAATATTGATATTAATTATCAAAATATTGAAATATAAACCGTTTAAAGTCAAATAAGAAAGAAATGTATGGACGAAGAAGGAAATATAAATAATTACCTAAGGGAAGGAAGAGGACGAGGTGGGAATCAAGAAAGTGAGGGAGGAGCAAGCTTTTAGGCTCCATAGTGATGAACCCAATATCCATCGCCTTCTTCTCACCGCCGCCGCCGCCGCCTCTCACCACTCTGATGACTCCCGCCTCCGTTCTTGCCGCCTCTTCCTCCTCCCGCAACATGAACTCCGCCTCTTTATCTTTGTTCCTCCCCCCACCGCCACCGGTCCCCGCCGCCGCCGCAGAACCACCCAAGAGTAGCAGTAGAGACAGCAACAAGAGGTGAATAATCTGCTTCTTCTTCCCCATCATTTAATTTTTCTTGAGTCAAACTCAACTCAACTAAACTCCTTTAATAATTCAATATTCTTATGATGATTAACAATACCTGTTATGAGTTCTCGAGGATTTGATCTCTAAATCATATATATTCTGAGGTGGGACGGTGGGTGGGCAGTGGCGGACCCAAGAATTTCGGGAAGTGGGTTCACATTTTGTGCACAAAAAAATGTTGATATTTGTATAACAATAAATTTAAAACCTTAAAGGTAAAAAAAGTATCAATAAATAGCATTCTGGAATTAATATTGTGAATTATATGCAATATTTTTGAAATACGGTATAAAAATATAATACGCTCATTGTTTTAACCAAAAAAATTAAAGAACTAAAGTAGTAATTCTAGACATTTCTTCAAATACTAAGTATATCTTAGGAATCCTTTTAAAACAATTAAACTTGTTCATACATTTCAAAAAAAAATTGAACATTTTATAATTAAGTTTCATAATGAAAGGTAAATCAGTTTTCCAAATCTAAAAGAATTAAAACATAAAATTCTACACGACTATAGAATGTGTCATCTCTTCCATTTTCAAAAAATAGCACCTAATCACATATAAATATACTCTCCTTGGATGCCCTTAGTCTACATATAATATCTAATTATATATTACTACTAATAAATAATTTTTTTTGGAGTGGGTGCAAGTGACCCCACTGCAACCACCCTAGGTCCGCCCCTGTGGGTGGGGGTGAGGAATAAATAATACTCTCTACGTACGGAAATAATTTTTCCATTTGACTTTTTACGATCTTCAATATATGTTATACTTTGACCATTAATATATATATATATATATATATATATATATATATATATATATAGACAGATATATTTTATAAAAATTTGATATTTCAAAACCACGTTTCATTTGGAACATATCGACATTAAATTTATTATATTATAAAACAATACGGAGTATTTTTTTTCTACAAGTCAGAGTCAAAGTTTATAAACTTGGACCAAGAATTGTTAAACGGGAAGAATAGGGAGAGAAGTGACTAAGTGAGAAGAAGTTGGAAGGGGAGACAGGTGGAAGCCATGCATGCATGCAATGCTAGTCCATCTCTGCATGCACATCACGAAGCAACTTAGCATTTACTCCGTCGTCATCTTTGGAGTTCGGTGTGAAAAGTTTCTAACTTTTATTATCAAATATAAAAAAATATACTCCCTCATCCCTTTAAACATGGAATGTTTTGATTTTGAAGAGATTTAAGGGGAGTGCATTTTTGTATTGAATTTCCAAAAATGTCCTTTGATGTGATGGGTAAAAATAAAATTTGATGGGTAAATTATTAGTAAAAAGGTATGACGTGATAGATAGGGTATGAAAAAATAAGGGATAAAAGTGAATTTTTAATAGAAATAGGAAGTGTTTTTTGGAATAGATGAAAAAAGAAAGGAGAAAGATTTTCAGGAACGGAGGGAGTAAATTTAACATCAATAAATTTGTTTTGAAATAAACTTTTAGAATAATATATTTTAAAAATATAAAATAATATTTAAACAAAGATATTAATAATCAAACTAACACATTGGAGACCGTGAAAACAAAAAGAAAAAATTCTAGGACAAAGCATTAGAAGAATTTTCTAGATCTGTGTCCGATCCGAACCTAATATAATTAAAATTAAAACTCATCAAGCCTGGTCCGCATAAGTATTCTCAGGTTTCGGCCCGACTCGTATTCCACATGTTATGTGTGATATTGTTATTACTCCATCCATTCTTGAAGATTTGTATACTTTTGATTTTCTGATCAAAATTACTAAACTTTAGCTATAAATTAAATAAAAGTAATATTAAATATTGATACAACAAAAATTTTATTAGATTCATATTTTAAAATATTTTTAAAATATTATTTTATCTAATTCATAGATAATATATTTATTTTATTTAATTATAGGTCAAAGCTTGAAAATCATTGACTATTGTTAGATGATATATTTATTTAATAATAGTTCCAGACTAGTTTGTAATTAGAGCATGTTCTTTAAGACTGAAAAAAAAGAGCTGGATGTAAACATCACTCAAAATAAGAAGTGATGATAACTTATTAGTTAGGATAATAATTAATAGAGATAAAAATAAGTTTTTAATAAAAATGGAAAAAGAAATTTTGGAACAAGGAAAAAAGAGACTTTTTAAGGACAGAGGGAGTACTATTTAGGGTGACATTTTTTAACTTTTTATAACCCAATAATTTGAGATCAAGATGGGTGATTAATATGACGCCATAACTCATAAGAGAACACTTTAAAATGTCAAAAAAACTACCCTGAGGTGACACAAGAAAACATGAGGACCTTGGTGATTTTTAAAGAAACATGAGAATCTACAAGTCTTTACGAGAAAACTCGCGTCATCTTAAAGTAGTTTTTTTTTTTTGTAAAAACGTAAAAAAAGATGGCAAGGAAATATGGAAGGACAAAGATGCTACCTCTATGAAGTCAAGAATATGTTGGATAGAAACGGCTTTTTACAAGACTGGTATATTCATTCATTGCCTACCCTACACTAACTCTCATTTAAATCCCTCCACCAAAGGGCAAAGACCCAAAACTTCTCCCCACATGCATCCTTTATTACTACTACTCACTTCAGAAGAATTATTTTCGGTTCATGACAAAACAGACACAAGTTTACCCCCTCAAGTGAAGAACTGCACGACCCCATAAACGGTGACGGGCGGGTTAATCTCAACACGCTTGGCCTCTCCCGCCTCAAGCAAAAGAGGCAGTGACTTGGCCTCCACGGGTGCCACCCCATTGAGGGTCCACAACGTGACGTGGGCCCATTCGTTCTTCGAGCAAAGCTTTTCACCATCAATGGAACCGATGGAGGCCTCAAGTGCAGCCACCCTTTCTGAGAATAACAGTGCAGTCATTTGCACGGGCACTTGTTGGTCCACAAAGGGAGCGTAGCTTGCAAGAGCCGAAACACTGTGGCTTCCCTTGTGAGCAAGGGTCACGTGGGCCCTTTGAAGCCGGCTTTCCAAGTTTTTGTCCTTCAGAAATGCTTGAGCTTTTGAATCCTTCTTACTCACCTGTCCAAACAACAGTTCATTATGTTAGGGTTAAGTTTTATGCTCATGATGGTGAAATGTAGAATGATATACTTTTCCCGCGTTACTCAATAGGTACTTGGTTGAAGGCCGAGTAGCAATAGAACCGATTACTCATAGTAAATTTTGAAACAAATTCTTATGTGCCATACATTTCTAATATAAATAATAATATTACTTGTAGAAAGATTAATATTATTCTGAAGATCCAGTCATCCAAATCAACAAACCCAGCCCAAAAATGAGAAAAAAATAAGATGTGCAAAAACATATTATGTTGTGTGTGGAGTACTTGTGTTTTGAAAAAAGAGCTAAATTTGATTTTTAATATCCACTCTCGTAACACTTTGATTATTAAAATACATATTTATACATTCAAATAATTCATTTTAAAAATATCAAATAATGAAAACAATGAACATCTAACAAAATAAATTTCGGGGCCCTATGCGGCTGCACACCCTCCGGGTCACCCCTACAAATCAAAGTTTAAGTGCCATTTTGGCAAGTGTTATTCACTTGGTATGACTGGTTGAATTGGCTGAATTTTCTGAACAAAAAAGAATTTGGCAACTCTCATTTCAACAAAAAAAGTCAAATTATTATGCAGAAGAGGCCATTTTTGGCTGCCAAACAGACTACAAGTGCCGAACTAATATTCTAGGTTATAAAAAAACCCAATTCCTAACATCTTTAGTTCAAGAAATGTATAATCTAAAATCATACACCTCCCATAATTTTTCTTATTACTTTGTTTTTTAAGTTTTGGAAACACAGAGAAATGTAAAAAGAGGGGGGAATACGACTTACATTATCTAGAAGCCTTTTAATATCCGTAACAGGCAACCTGATGGCAGCAAACACTATTGTTCCAAGCTTCCGTTTTTGAATTAGTGGTGCCCCACTCTTAGCAATAGACCTCAGTTGATCCAATACCTGTTTGACAACTTCTTCAAAAGGAACCTGCAAAATACAGTATTATAACACCACACCAATTACGCAGCAGCAGAACTTTACTGGTGGAAAGAGCATATGATCACTTTCATGTCAATATTACAGTTTCCTGAAACAGTAGGAGAAACCCAATGGAATCCCCCCACCCCCCTTGCTTTTTTAGAAAAGTGCAAATAATGAAATCATGGTGTAAGTTGTGTAACATCTGCAGCAACCTGTATTGAATTAAGATAATCAGCATTTGCAAATAACACATCTCGTAGCTGTTTCTCCCATTTAGCCCACTCCTTTGCATATGTCCCTTTTGTTGGCTCCAATCTGCTCGAACACAGAAAATAGTTTTATTACGTACTATTTAGATGTCCGTGGGGAAGGGGTTAGTGAAAGTTGACGTAGAGAAGTAAACACAATCAAAATGAATTGATAAACTCATTTCCAAGGATATATAGAATAACACTCAAGCAATATTGTATTCAGTGCGGCAACACATACAAAAGAGACCTATTTAATTATAGTACAAGACAATTTCTCGCATTAATTAAATTTTAAATTTATCTTAACTGCAATAACATTACTGCCACAAGCATTTAGGGGTCTTTTTACAGATGTGGGCTAAAACCCTTATTCTACAAAGTGATTCGCTTGTTTATTGAAAGAACGGAGTCATGGAATGGTTCCTCCTACCACTTTTCATCAGTGCATTATTTGCACATAAGTTATAAGGTTTCACTCCAAGTTAATGTGGAGAGGGCATACTATGTTCCAGAGGAAGTATGGTAGAGCCAGATGTAAGCATGTGTTATTACACCACACCAATTACACGCCTTGGAGGAGTAAACCTACAATCTAAGCCCGTTTTTGGGAGCATGTCGGTGTCATGGTCCAGCGGGGCTTCAAATGTTAAACCACATTGGGACTTCTCAAAACCACATTAACTATTTAATCAATTTTGCACGTAACATAAACTCTGCTCATTCCAAATGGCTTTTGGTTCAAACTGTGTTTGACCACTGTCATACAACACCACCAACAAGTCCAGAAAAATCCCACAAAAAGTAGGAAATAATCAGGGCACTTTAGAATGTAGTTAACACAACAAATTCACTAGCGCACTCTTATCAGCACACACAATCAGCCACCTTGCTTCTTTAATGAATTATAGCTTGGACATGTATATAACAATATAAGCATTATAAATCACAGAAAGAAATCAGTGAAAATATAACTATTTCAGTTTAACAATTTGTTGAGCTTTAACAAGAATTTTATTCAAGGGTTAAAGGTTTTGAAACACACTGTAAGGTAAAACTTAGAAAGTCAGGAAAAAGTTTATGAAGGTCTTGAGTGAATACATCAAACCAGTACACTTTTATAACTAAGATTTGTAATAAGGCAATTCATAGTGCAAGAATGAAGAAAAGAGAAAGAATGAAAGACTCTACCAACTACAAATAACTAAAAGACAAGTATTTTGCTCACCTCCGATGCCTGCTAGAATGAAGATTGTATAACTTCATTCCCTCCTCCAGAATAGACTTCAGTGATTGTGGTAAAGGTGGCCTTCACATTGTAGAAGAATGCAAACATTTTTGGGAAACGAACAAAAGAATAAAACCCAAATAGTTGATTATAGAAATGACATGTGGCAAGCAAAACTCACAAGCCAATACCATGAATGATATTCAGTCATGTAGCTAGAAGTGAAACGAGAACTTTTATATCAAGTAAAAGCCTCGAGGTACAAAAATTATAAGCAAAAAATCTAAGCACAATCGTTTTAATCAGATGCATTATTTTTTTGTTTTATGCCATTTCCAGAACTTCAATCACGCTATACCACTAACAATAACTAAGGTTCTCATTATTGAGAAACTTCTATTTAGTTATGTTGCTATTTTCCAAAGCACAAGTGATGCAACCCTATTTCAACAGATATAAATGAAATGGATGTCATATGGTTCATACAGAAATCAATACTATTAATTACTATCCCAGGACAAGAAAGCAGGAAGGATGAGAAAAAACTAGGCAAAAAAGCTGTTAAATTTGATAGCAGATTTGGGAAGTCATATTTGGTTGGGAACTGAAATATCTTTCATTTCCATGGTTCTCTAGATATCTACTTTCAAATGCCATTAGGATTGGCTTTACTTCGGCTAATACATTTTGTGTCCAGACAACTCATCCCTTTGAAAAACAATTTCAAACCAAGAGAAGACACAACAAAAAAAACACGCAAACAGCAAAAGTGAATAAACACAAACAGATTGAAGATAATTTTAATCACAATGCATAAATGGGAGAATGAGATCATACTGACCTTTCGGGTTTTAGTAAAGGTATTTTGACAAGGGAGCCAAAACGTCCAATAAGATCAGTCTCAAACTCTTCGCGACTCTATAAAAAAAGGACAAATATGTGTGAATACAAATCTGAGAAAAAATGCATCACCTATAACCTAAACAGTTCAGCATCTTTACCCTGCCATCATAAAGATCATAAAACATTAATAATACATAGCCGGCATTTGGAGACGACTTGTCAAGATTTCCCTGTGAGACAAAAAACTAGAGTTACCAACCAAGGAATCCAGTAGGGTAGAATACTAGAATGCTATATAAAAAGGCAGAGTAACATACTGGATGATTAACACGATGTAGTACTCGAAATATGAAAACAGCTAGAGCATCAAGCGAAAATGGATTTCTTTCAGTTCCTGCATGTTTGTAAAATTAAGATTCAGAAACTGCACCTGTTATAAATCCATATAGATTCAACCTAAATCTGCTACCTTTACAAACAAAAAGTAAAAAACGGGAAAGAAAATTTGTAGCCAACATAACCTCGTGTAAGGACATATGATACACACTGGAGTAGAACACATTACGATAAGAAGCACTGCTGATCAAGTCATATACTCTTTTGCTTCTGTTTTGCTTCATTATTCCATATTACCATTACTTCAGTTTAATATAATGATTTGCAGTACCCAAATTGTCTGACCGAACTGGGTTTCATTGATCATATAGCATACTAAGAGGTGCACAATGACAATCTAGAAAGACAGATGATGACACCAGAGACATTTTGAATGAAATAATGATCTACTAAGTTAAAAAATGGAGACCTTCTGGAGAAATAAATAATGTAGCAAATGAGATACTGGAGGCATTTTGGAATTAATAAAAGATACAGCAAATGAAACATTAGAGACAACCTGAAGAACTGACAACTACGCAAATACAAGCAAGAGACATTTTGAAGGAAAACATAACAATAAACTCCATAGTCCCATAACAATATACTGGCACCTGTAGTGATATTGCAAAGTGGCATTGTACAATTGCCCAAGTACAGACTAAACATCATAGCAGTATTGAAAAGAAAACACGTTTACAGAAGCCACAAGTGCATGGAAATCTTGCTGCAGAACTTAGAAAAAATAATACTCCCTCCGGTCCTAAAAACATGGGAGTTATTGATTTTTAAGAGATTTAAGGGAATTGTATTTGGTATTGAATTTCCAAAAAAAGTCCTTTGATGTGATGGGTAAAAGTAGGATTTGATGGGTAGATTATTAGTAAAAAGATATGATGTGATAAGTAGAGTATGAAAAAGTAAGGGGTAAAAGTGACTTTTTAATAGAAATAAGAAATGTTTTTTGGGACGGATGAAAAAAGAGAGGAGAAAGGTTTTCAGGGACGAAGGGAATACGATTTTACCAAAACAAGAAAACAAAAAACAATTTACGAACCTTCGGACTCGGGCACAACGGGAACTGCAGATACTTTGGTGCTTTGACACATGTCCTCAATCTGCAGAAATGAATGCAGATTGACATCACCAAATTAACACATATCATCGTGTATTCAAGCAGAAAATATAAGATAAGAAGTTCAGGTGCAATATCAAAATGCACAATACTGCCCCCTCTATTATAACTAGAGTGAGTAGAGCCTGTCGATAGTTTTAAATTGCACTGTATTCATCTTGTTGAAATTTTATACAGCTACACAGGTCCAACCCTAGCTACTTTTAGACTTGATTCGTACTTTCAAAAAGGACCTCAATTTATTGTGAAATTATTCATTTTTTGCAAAATTATATTTTTTAGACTAAGCGAACTAACATTACACACAACATTATACATTTCATTATTCAAAATTAAACAAATAAATGGGTAAATCTGATTTTTCTTTTGTTCATATTGATTGTGTGACAATGGAAACTGACGCACAATGTGTAAAATTATTCTGAACCACGTAAAATGATTAAATATGGTACTCCCTCCGTCCGGGAAAGAACTTCCCATTTGGACTTTTCTTCATTTTTATGAAGGGTTGACTATGAGTGTAATTTCCCCAAAATGCCCTCCCTCTCCTTCCTTACCAGCCCTGACCCAGTCCCAATTGTTGCCGCCAGCCTTTCCATTGCCGCCCGCCACACCACCGCCTATTTCTCCGACCATCTTCCCCAGCCCCCGGCACCAAAGCCGCGACGGTCTCATCATATCCGAGGTAACCCGCTCCTTTCTCCTCACCATCGCCGCCACTCCACTACCGCCGGCAGCCCCACCTTTACCCCCAGCCCGACATACCCCACCACCGGGTGCAAATCTAAAAGACAGGAGGAGAAAGAAAAAAAGAAGGAGAAGAAGAAAAGAGGAAGAAGTGTATATCTAGAGACTAGACTCACCATCGCCATCATCGTCACCGCCAACCGCCACCGTCATCACTATCACAATTGCCGCCGCCATCGCTGTCACAATTATCGCCAATGCCGAGATCTAGAAGATGGAAGAAGAATAAGAAGGGAGAGACTAAGAAGATGAAAAATGGAGGGGGAGAAAGAAGAGAGGAGATGGAGAGGGGAAGATCGGAAGAGGAAGAGATAGAGAAGAAGGAGAAGAAGAAAGGGTGCAGGACGGGAAGGGTAGATTTAGAGACGGGTAGGGTAGATTTAGGGAATTTGAGAGTAAATGAAATTTATTGATAAGGGTATTTTTGGAAGAATTGGGGTTAAAATTAGAAATGGGAAGATTAATTCCGGACGAGAAAAAAGGAGAAACGAGAAGATTATTTCTGGACGGAGGGAGTATAACACAAACATTTTGGGTCCAAGTGTCATCGGGACACCTTAACGAACAATTTTTTTTCAACAAAACGTCATTCTTTTTTAATCTGCTGAATAATCAATCTATCACTCTAAGATGACCCCTCATAAAAGCATACAACCTTCAATTACTCATCATTGGCAGCTGAGGTATGCTATAGTTGAATGCAAAAAAACTCAAGATAGAATTACATTTATGGACAAACAAACAAGCAATTTGGCTTCAAAAAAATTACCTGTTTCCAGACTTCCTCGTTTGGTGCATTCTTGTCAGCAAGTATTATTGAATAAGGTTTTGCCTTCCGTGAATCTGCAACCTTCTGCCAGTATTTACCTGTTGATAATGCTATTAGATAACGAAAATCATCTGAAAACAAGGTTTCACATTGAAGAACAGTAGCAAACTTGTAGCAGAACCTTTCAGGCATTGATATCACTGAAAAGCATCATCATCTTGTAGCAAGAAATAAGCAAATAAACATCGCTTTCCAGTAAATGATCTGTGGACTAAAGGATGTTTAGCATTCCTAAGAGAATGCTAGGCCTTTAGTGGTGAGTGGTCTCTGTATATTCAAAGGCCAGTGTGCCTATACTACATGCATTCATCAGCACCATCACTACATCATATTAATCCCAGCTATGTTGGGGTTGGTGTCATAAATTTAAAATTTACTTATTTATAATAACATGAATATTAATGGTCAAAGTGTTGCATTACACACCGTAAAAGGTCAAATTTAAAATCCCTTTTGGGACCGAGGGAGTATTAATTAGTTATCTAAATTTGGTTAACACCGTGAAATTCATGTAGACAAGCATAGTGGTCAAAATTTTGGGTTGAATTGACTTCATGCCGGCATGTGGCAACCTTATTTCAAAGAATAATGAGATGAAATTCTGAAATCATCATCATAGTTTTCCCACTTTGAGTGAAAAAAAACTATGAAGATGCAATGAGTTGAGATAGTAGCTATAGTCATGTCTCATTCCCATCACATGATTGATATAATAAAACGAGCATGCATATCATGGTACATGCGCATCTATATTCATGTGTTATAGAAGGAAAATACTGATAGAGCATATTAAAAAAATACTGATAGAGCATACTCCCTCCATTCCTATTTAGCTATCCGGTTTGCTTTTCGTACTTAAAGTTTGACCAATAATATCTCTTAAAATACATTAGAAAAAAATATTAAAAATAATACATTTAAAGTAATTTTCGATACCAATAATTTGGTATAATTTTTATATTTTAATTCATAGTAAATTTTTATATATAGTTAGTCAAAAGTTTGACACGCAAAGCGAAACAGACAATTAAATAGGAATGCAGGGAGTATATTATTTTTTATTTCTACGAAAAAAACTTCAAGTAAACTACTGAACATCCACTAATACCTTTAACAAGATCACCCATTAAACTTCGAATTGGTCGATCATCCCCGAGACCTCCAGGGGCACTCAAAATTTCTTTACAAAGTGCAGATTTAGCACAGCCAGGTATTCCTGCAATGCAAGGTCAAAACTGATTAAAATGAAATTATAGCAACTTACACATAAGCACAAGAAGTAAACAAAAGTTTTCCAGTGTTCAGTGCTCCATTTCTGCAAGCTCAGAGCGCATTTCATATGGTCCAGCTTGAGGGGAAGAGTAAAAGTGCAGAAATATATAAAAATTTTCTATGTCATTTTTCTATTGTGTGAAGACTGAAGAGCAATACTTGCATATTGATATGTTGCCAGATTATTTAAAACAGGGAAGCAGCACAATATACTGCTAAAGTGAAGAGCAGTTGAAAGCCCCTACAAAAACAGTACCTGGAAAAAAAACTATAAGACCTTCATCCTTCATAACAGTATCCTCAGAAATACTATGTCCAAGTGACGGCAGACTCTTCTCCTGCTCAAGATCACCTTCTTCATCTCCTCCATCGACAATGGCCAAGAAATCTTCAGATTTCACCAAGCTTCCAGCAGCTCCAATCAACACCTGGTTTTGTGGGCTACGCTTTGCATACTGTTCTAGGAAAGGCTCAGCTTCACTGAGGTATATGGATGTGGATAGTTGCTTATTCCCATACTTCCTGAGTATGTAGACAGCCCTGGAAGAAGAAATTTACACACGATGGAACAGATCAGAAATAACATTCCAGATAAAACGAAAGGATGTCAACCATTATTACCATTCATCAAGCATCTTGCTGAGTGCTTTTTGCTTTGCTGCTGATGTATTCCATATCTGCATTTGCCTAGAGCCACAGGAAGATTACCCAAATATGACATTAGAATTCATAAGCCTTTGCAGAACTGGTAACAAGTCATTGCTCATACACTACCAGAGAACCCACATTGTTTTGGTGGGAGGGTACAATCCATTGCGATTTGCGAGTTGAAGATGGAGCATTTTAATACGTTAAAAAGACAACTCACCTGAGATAATAGGTCTTGTATGCCACTGGACCCTTCTTAAAGAGAGTTTGCAAGCCATTACGGATCAGAAAAGTTCTCAGCTGCATGGTAAATAAGACCAAGTTTAGAAACAAGCTTTTCAACATGAACACCATGTATTGTCAAATCTAGTGATGCAGATATAAATTTTTCAAACAAGTGAACATACTTCCTCTTGTTCCAACTTAGTTTTTGAGAATTCAATATCAGAAAGCATATATACCTTGTATGTAAGAAATTTCAACTTGACCATCAGATTGGCATCCTCATCAGCTAAGCTATTATTTTCATCATCGCCCTTTACCATATGACTACTTCCTTTTAAAATGCCAGCAGCTATTTCTCCGTCAACTTTGAATAAGTTTAGATCCACAAAAAAACCTAGGAGCAAGAAAATAACCCACTCATGCCAAAATGGTTTAAAAAGTGCTGAAGATAAATTTACCATGAAGTACAGACTTATTGGAATAATAGAAGAAAACTAGAAAGATGTTCACCTCGATACAGTGGCCACAAACCCGGATTTCTCCTGACAAATGTTGATTGTCTTGTTAATAGATAAACAAATGTGTATGCACACTAAATACTGCAGCAGTTCCATCCTATTCAAGCTAGCTAAATTCAAAAAACTAAAGTACAAGCACAGAAGGCTTATGTAGACCTCATCTCTTTCTGATACTGCCTGAAGACAAAATCATTGAACACGTGGATCACCATTTTGAAGTGCAGATTGTCACTTGATACATCATTAATTTTGTGAAAGTTATAGAAGCATTTAAAGGAAACGCGCTGGTGTTTTTCCCTCATCAAACGAACAACTTCCTGTTATAAGTGAAAAGGTATACGAACAGTAGTTAAACAGTGGAAGGAAAAAGAGGACATAATTTTCCATATTTTTTTTATTTTAAGTGTGAAATTGGTGCATCCAATATCTGTTCAAAACGGAAATCCTAAAATTAGCAAATCATTGCCAAAAATGTCAACTACTCTAGTCAAACAGTCGAACCTGTAATTTTGCAGTTGAATAATCAGCAGGATGTGCTTTTAAGAACTTTGAAACTACAGATCGGTCAGCAGTTCTTGAATGTGAATCAGATGCTTCATTAGGGAACCAATCTAGATGATTTGGACAAAAAGCGGAACCAACACCATCAAGAAGTGCTTTTATTTGCTGCAGACAGTGTTACAATACATCTTCAGGACATATCACTATAAGAGTAAATTTATCCTCTAGATAATATGCCAGTTATTACCTGCTTCTCATCTGACCTATTTTCAGCACAAATCTCACGAAGAGTTGGTCCTAAGTCCTGACCAGCTGGATAGTATAAGCAACATTAAGCACATTTGAGACAACAAAAAATAAAACAAGGTAATAAAACATTGAATAATGTTGCTTTGAAAAACAGGTGTGCACACTGCATACAAGAATAATCCCATCTATATTTATTTATTATTTGATACTACATGAAGACCTTTTGGGCAATGAATTTAAGCATGACATTTTTTTTGTCTAACTCGGATACCCATAGACTACGTGGTTGTTGGCTTTCCATATTTCAATTTGGCTAAGATTTCTTTTTTTATCTAACCCAAATATCTGTAGACTGCATGGTTGTTGGCATTCAATATGTTACAAATGCCATATGTAGTGTTCAAACTTCAAACTGAATTGAAGGTAGTTCAAAAGCACATCCAACCAGTGACATGGAACTGCCAATTGCAGGCAAGGCAAACAATATTCATAAACACTGGTTGAATGTTCAGCTTGAGATATAACAAGGAAACAAGTGCCAAGGCGCTAATAACCATGCAAGGCAGGTGAACTCTAAACTTGGGGGTACAGAGAAAACTAGCAGCCTCTATGTTAGTACTCCATGAGAAGCTTTCTTCAAATACAGCTCTTACTCCAAAGCTTGTGTAGTTGAGTGGGCAACTTTACTGGACTTAATAAGTTAATAGTTTACTTATCGTAGGTAAGGAAATGACTAAACATCACACCAAGCATGACTCTGCAATGCCGTGTTTTATTTGGTTTGTACCAGCATGAAATAAAGGTTAAAGGAAACATACACAACAATGAAATCAAATATTGAAAAAAAATCCACTAAAGTTTGATATTCTATTTCTTATCTTTCTTAAGTACTACTACACCAGAGCAAATCCACATTATTAAGTCATGTCATAGTCTGTCTATTTTGAAAGCAAGAGAAGTACTTTATCCCTGTCACGCCTCAACCTAAATGATCTTTCTTGCATTATAAATAGAGGCAGCTAGGTTACAGATATAGGGGGTATTTCTCTGTGCTGATGTTTGTTAGCTTATTGTCGACAAGAAGTTTTTAACTTATAAGCTACTTATAAGTTGAATATTCTTTGGTGAAGTAAAATAAATTAAATGATATATAAGTCATTTGAGAATAATCCTAAATGGATAGGGATAGTTTTGTAAATAATCTAGTCAAAACGGTGAAACAAAAAAAATGGCTTAAAAATAAGTAAGACCTACTTATTTTTTCTCGCTTGTAAGAAGCTCATTAGTAGCTTATAAGCACAGAGAAAAATGTCATCGACTTGTAAGCAAAAAGCAGCTTATAAGCAGTTTCGACCAGCTTATAAGCACAAAGATGTTAGAAAAATGATAGGAAGAACAAATCAAATGCAGAATAAAATTCTGATTTTGTTTATTGTGAACTACATTCAGGAATTCTATGTTCCTGGATTATTTATAGACATCAACCAACACAACTTTTGGTACTAATCAACACATCTATTACTAACTAATACAACTTCTAGAAATAACTACCTTTAACCTCCAGAAATAACTACCCTTGTCCCTTTTAAAATTTAAATCTAAACTAATAACTTATGGCCAGGAATTAAACAATACGATTAAATCTAACAAAAGAAACACCCACATAATATCTTCAATATAAATTACGGGTAGACTCAGCCCCATTCTCTTCAACTTATTATTTCTACTTATTACTTATTCTTATTGGAACCACATGATATCACAAAGATTCAGATCAGATCAAAAATATTTTAAGATCAGGGACAATTTTTACTTTAACCAGAATAAGATCATATCAGACTAAATATGAAAGATTCAGATCAGATGAGAAAGATTCAGATCATATCAGACCTTAATACATTCAGATCAGGACAATTCTAAGCCCCCTCACACCGCACCCACCCACAAAGTTTTAGGTTCAAATGAGAAAA